CGATACAAATGTTTCTATTACTTACTATGATCGTTTTGGACACAATGTTTTCTATATATCTGTGTATTTACAAAAAGAAAAGTAGATAATTGTATATAGATATTGCTATGAAATAATGAAATTAAATATATGCTAATGAAAGCCGAAAAAATATTACATATTATTTATTGCCTAATCTTTATGATTACGATTTTAATTATGTTCTGAAAATTTCATCTTAATTCCTTCACTTATTATAATGCGAAAGCTTAACACACAAATAAACAAACAGACAGTTTACGATGTAACGATTTTATTGTATGTACAGATAAAGAAGAAGATAATGAGGTTATAGTATGTGATATTGTGTAATAACCCTCTAAAGTAACGTTTGTAAAACGTAAAACGCACAAAAGCCAAGCAATTATGTTACATTAAGGGCATAAAGAGCGTATGCTAAACGAATTATGGTAACAATGAAATATGATGTAAACTGTACCTAGCTCATTATCGACTCAACACAAAGGAGAACCTTCGTGGAACAATATTAAGGTACCGTTATTATCCATTTTGGGTACGGAATTATTTCAGTAAGAGCGACTTATTAGACAATTTTTTTAACTGGCAATGGCAAAGAAAATGACGACTTTTTTATTGATGATATGCAAATAAACAGGTGAAATAGTCAAAGTAGCTTGCGCTACTTTGACGGGGCACCAGTGGAGGATTATAAAATGAGCATGAAGTGAGTTAGCCCATCTTAACAAATCCTCCCAAGAATTTATCATAACGGTTTCCAGGGGCACCGCGGCCGGCCAATAGTCCACATTACTAACAATCACCTTCCTGCTTAAATTGACGATTTGTGAGTACCAGATAATTGGTGTATGGTTAATTAGAAGTAGTATGTAATTGAAAAGACAAAACAGCTGTTAATCTACTTGATGGAAAATGGTAACCGTCGATTATGTGTATTATCATATATGTATATCATATCGAAATCATTCCGAACTTACGGTAGATTTGACATATCATAAGAGTCTGTAATAAACCTACATGAATAAAGATATTTTGAATTGAATTGAATTGAATATACATAAACACCGTCTAGTTTTCAAAACATGTAACGCTCGCACGTGTTGGCACTACATTAGGACGATTAGTTTTAATTTAGTTTCTTTTCTAATATTTTCTAATGTTCCGTATTCTGTTTCTCTTCCATATCTCACTCTTAAGCCAGAAACCAGCAAAGTAAGCTGCTTTGTGTCAGTTATAGTTGAGAAATACTCAGAGGACAAATAAGCTATATTGTACTATAATACACTAATCCGAGAATTCATTTTTGTTTATATGTTGAATTGTTAGTTAGTTCCTTATTAATTTCGTCAATATGGGTTTTTGTACAAAGTCGAGTTAAGTTACGTTATACATTTATATCTTTTACCCTTTCACCTTTGAGAGAGTTCTTTTGTTTTCTGTACATTTATTGAAAGCAATGTTTGCTACGGTTCAAACGTCGTATTGAAAGTACATACGGCCGTAATAAATTGCAAATATCTTCAGTTATATTTTATTTGGGGCCGACGGAGCGTAGCGAGGTAGCGTAGCGTCGCCGGGTAATATATTATGCGCATGAGGGTGAAGTATACGTTCTGTATGTATTTAGTCGATGTTTAGAATACGGTGAAAACGTTTTGATTCAATTGAAAATTGTATATGTAATTTTGATTTTATAAATTTATACAAGTTTATAAGCAGCTGAGCTTAAAAAAACATAAAACTTATTGACGACCTCGGTTTAACACACCGCCTTACGATCGATCGTGGGTTCGATTCCTCGCACGCCACAAACATTTGTATTCATAAGTACGATTGTTTGTGTCGGTCTGGGTGTTTTCTAGGTAGGTATAATATGTATGTATTTACGAAAATAAAATATATCTATGTATTTGTATAAGTTGTCTAGTACCAATAACACAAGCTTTAGCTAGCTTAACTTAGGTCTAGATGGAGCTGTGTAAATTGTCCTGAGATTATTATTGTATTATTATTATTTTCTTTTTCCTTGATGCTCCGCTCCTATTGGTCGTAGCGTGATTATATATCCTTCTTTTTCATAAACGGGATTGTCCAGCATTAAAAAAAAGTTTTTTCATTCGAACAATTGGTTTCAGTCTCTAGCGAATTCAAATTTCAGTTGCAGGAAATCAGTTACTAATTAGGTATTTCTTATTTGATGTGTTTGTAATAAGTCAGAAAAATGTTTGTATGGCAAAAGATTTATGGAAACAATACGAACTAGAGACAAATTTGAGTTAAAAAACACCTTTTTGGTTTCACACACGGCTTTATTTCAGATGGTAGAGGGTTTAATTTCTCATTTGTATTCATGATCTGATGGTAAATGGTTACCGTAGCTTATGGACGCCTGATGTACAAAAGGAATGCTCGATCACCGAGGCCGTTAAATTCTAATCTATAGATGTATAGATAGATAGTCGTCAAACGCAATTGCTGTAGAAAGTTATGTCCATCAACGTAATATCGCACGAAGAATTAATTAATTTTTATTTCTAGAACTTTCTCAGAATATATCACAAGTTATTGGATTAGAGATTAGTTATTCGGATCCAGTCAACTAGAAACTATATTATAAGTACCTATTCTTCGAGTTTATTAATCACAAATGAAATGAAGATGTTTCTTTATAATATTAGTTTAAATATACAAACATTAGTTCATGAATATGATTGTATCGATTTGAGTGTTTTTTTTTTATTTATGCAGTAGAGAAAATATTAAAATATATTAAAAGAAAGAAATAAAATAAATAAATAATAATAATATTTCAGAACAATTAACACAGCGCCTTCTATTACCACGGTAAACAGAGCTTGTGTTATGGGTACTAGACAAATGATATAAATACTTAGATTATTTTTTGTAAATAGATACATAATACATAGAAATCACCCAGACCGATACAAACAATCATACTCATGAATACAAACATTTGCAAACGTGCGAGGAATCGTACCCGCGACCATCGAAACTAAAGCGGTGTGCTAAACCGCTAGACCACTGAGTCCGTTAAATGTATTTGAGTCTTGTTTTAATTCTTGAGTCTATCCACATTTTCTTTGTTCATTACTTCCATCTTCCAAGTGTGTAAGAGATAGTTATAGCGATTAGACCGCCTTTTTGAAACACATTCTTAGTAAAATTACAAAGTTTATATACATTTTACAATAAAGAGTTCTGTTATTATTGTGCACGTGAAACTACAGGAATGGACTAGTAAAAAAAATTGTTACATAATGTTATCAGTACCAATGACATCTTTAACAATGTGATGACGTTATTCCCTGACAATCTGCTTCGATAATTGTAATGACAAAATCATGTTTTAGATCTTATGCCAAAGGCAATAAAATACAAATTGCTACAGCCGTATTAGCTGCCAGCTTTCTCAAGGTAGTTGGTATTCCTCCCGGTCACGACGGATGATGATGACACACGGCGACTGCATAACATGACTCAATAGGTTCGGTGAGGTCTCGCTGACAGCGATTTAGCGAGTCGTGCAGTTAGAGCGGATTGTAGAGTCACACGCCAGAATTTACTCTGTATACCAAGTCCAATATAATGTTATTGGATTGAGCGTTTTAAACCTTTTTTTACTCTATAATTATACAATAGCAATGTATTAATTTTGACGGCCTCGTTGGTCTAACACAACATAAGTTTCTTGCTTATTCTTCTTATGTTGAGTCTGCGTTCCGAATGAGTGGTATAATCAAATAAACCCCTAACACTTTTTGTTTTATTATTTGCATATTTTTTTTTATTATGTACCATTAAAAATATATACAACCCCAAATTTACGCTATTCTACCACCATCCTCTATTTTTTAAAAGCGATATTAGTATCTAAATCTATATGGTAGAAGAACGTTTGCCAGTATAACTAGTATTTTTATAATTATTTATAAATGACATTCGATGAAATTGTTATTATATATGAGAAATCGCTGCTACTATGAACGCCGCTTTATAAAAATTATGCAATGAGTTATTAACATTGACGCTGCAGAGTTTTTTGCATTAGAAATATTCTGTTGAATATGAACTAACAAGTTTTATTTTATGAGTTACGAATGACAATGGAAATGGAATCTAAAGTACAGAGGATATAGTTGAATTTAGATTAGTGTTTTGTTTTGAAAAAAAAAAGAAATACCTGTCAATGACATCTGCGTATAATGTATTCAGTATTTACGTATGATCGTCGTATTTTTTTGTAATTCAGTCAAATAATATGTGTAGTTGTATATTTACTTACATATATGTGTAGTTTAATTTACCTACTAGTACATATTTACGGTACTTATTATTATAAAAAAACTGAAAACTATTTTAGCTATTGCAATGTTTTGTTATTTTCATATAATCAATGTTTAGCCCACTAAATGAAAACATTTATTTAATGGGATTATTAGAGGTCACGCAAAATGTACTGGTTGGATTGTGAACAGTTTTACTTTTTTTATAGGATCAGCTTTTAAATAAAGAAGTATCATCGAAATCGGTGCCTCTAGGTAAAAGTTGTGGAATAACGGATAAAAATAAAGATAACTTATAGTCCTCAAACGTAAGAATTAATAGACACGAAAATCGTTTTAAATATATATTTAAACTAGCTGTATCCGTAATTTCAGCTGTGTGAAATTTATAACCAATCTGTTATTCTGATGTATAAGTTACGTTGTTATAAAGTTTCATTCAGAAGGGTTTGCTTGAAAGAGTAAGAAACATCCAACTATCCATAACACATTCTTCGGCGCTTATAATATTAGTAAATTAGTAAGTAAATTTCTTTTTTTTTACCTTACTAGTAGTAAGGTAAAAAAATAGAAATTTAATTAACTTTCGAGTGATTTCTAAATAAAAAAAAACGTTTTTTCAATGATTTCTAACTGAAATAAAGGCAATGTCTCATAGAGAATTGTGTTTGTCAACAGGAACACCACCTCCAGAGGGCGATCTCAGGCACGGGGCTCATCATACCAACACCGGAGGTGTGCGAGGTCAACGACATCCACTTCTACGAGCGATGTTACCCGCCCGACTACAAAATGCCCAAGCAGCATATACACATGCAGCGTGAGTACTGTGCTCTTTCATTTTGCTGTGTTACATCTAAATTGTATTATAGAATATCGAATCGTTTGCGGTAGATTATAAGATTGAAATTGTAATGGCTTTATATGCGTGTGGGGAATTGGAGTAGAAATGATTCGTCTGATTGAAATCTTATGAGAATTAATATTTGTTCGTATTTTATGTGAAACACTGTTCGTTCTATTGAGATAAAACTTTATCAATTTATTGTTCGGACTTGCACGAAGTATATGAGTAGAGTACAATTAACTTCAGTAACGCGCGTGGTAGTGCCGGGAATGTAAGTATGTATTGGATGGAATATATATATATATATTGTAAAATATTCTTCATTCGTAATTATTATCTATAATCATTACATAGTATGAAACAGTCGCTGACACTGTCTGTCCGTCCCTACGTATGCGTAAATCAATAATTAATACTACGCAACGGATTTGGAAACGGTTTTTTTAAATAGATAGAGTGATTTAAGAGGAAGGATTATATGTATAATTGTTATCAGCAAGTAAAGTAGGTACTTTATTTAAATACTAGTTGACCCGCGCAATTTGGTTTGCATCAGATTTTACCCGATTTTTGGTAACATTTTTCATTGAAACTTTCCAATTGGTCGTAGCGTGATGTTATATAGCCTACAATTCCATCAAGGCTTCGTCGATAGAATGGCTAACCAACACTGAAAGAACATTCAAAATCGGATCATTAGTACCGGAGATTAATTACCTCAAACATTCAAACTCACAAACTTTACCTCTTTATAATATTAATAAAGATTAAAGTCTATTAGAAATTAGAGAGAATTTCAAATCTTTTATCAAAGTTTCAGTTCTTATGAAATCTTTATTACATGGTATAAAAAAAATCGCCCCCGTTGTGTGTACGCTTAGATCTTTTAAACTACGAAACTGATTTTAATGCAATTTTGAGCAATAGATAAATCGATATTAAGGAGAAGGTTTACATGTATAGTAACTGTACACGAGTGCGAAACCGGAGCGGGTATCTAGTATAATTTAAAACAAAACCAATACGCTTAGATCTTTTAAAATACACGACGGATTTTAATACGATTTTTAGAAATAGATAGAGTGATTCAAGATAAATGTTTATGTATATAATACATGCATATTATAATTTAAAAAAACACGAAGAAATATAAAGATTTATATAAAGCCTCCAGAACGGATCGCTAGCCAATACGAATACTATAAATGCGTAGGTTTGTTAGTATGGATGGATGTTTATTGCTCTTTCACAAAGAAACTACAGTAATATAGCTTATACATCAGAATAACAAATAGGCTATAAATTTCATGCGGGCAAAACCGCGGGCACAGCTAGTTTTATAGATAGGAAAGATTTGTATTTTTAATGTTCCGAATGCGGGTAGCGCCGCGGTATCTAAGTAGAGGTATATAAAGTCCGTTTTTAATATAACTCGACGTGTACATCTACAAGGTTCATAAAAATGACGCAATTATAAGCGACCGACGATAACATTGACTTTTACGATTTACTAAGTATATTACCTACCTTCTAATTTGAATTTATAATTCGTAAATATGACACACCTGTATTATGTATACTTTGACTCTATGATTGTACCGATGTTGTAGAGAGAAAATTTGTATTTTTTTTCCTTATTCTATTAATTAATAGACTATAGAGGTTCCCAACCTTTTTTGTGTCGTAGACCCCTTGCCATATTTTTCGGTTTTGGGTACACCCCCCATTCTTACCTGGTATTGATTTTTTGTAATTTTCTAACTGTAATAAATTTAAGTATTAAAAACAAAGTAAAAAGAACAAGATGACCCCTTGCAGTTTGTCATAGACTCCTGGGGGTCGATATAGACACTTTAGGAATCAATGTAATAGACTAACTACGTTTGTACAAATCTTGTACAGAATATTTGTTTTTTTTGTATATATCGTATTATATAATAAGATATAGTATATAATAGACACAGTAAAACTCAAATGGGTAAAGAAATAAAGTCTATCCCAGTAAAACGTAATTATATCCTTATCCTTAATTTTGGTAGTAAACTTACAGGATCGAGCGGCGTCTAGTCCCAAGATACTCAGAGCTTGTGATATGAGTTCCTAGAACTACAAGTGATACAAATACGTAAATATATATTTTTTGTAAATGCATACATGATATACATAGAAAATGGACAGACAAATACAAACAATAATATTCATAACTATGTTTGTATCGTGCGCGGAATCGAATCGGGAACTGATGAGGAAGCGGTGTCCTAAACCGCTAGACCATTGAGGCCGATATCATATAAGGAATAATAAGGCATAAGGGCTATCACGATCATCACGCCAACGTGTAAAAAGGCGTCTACATGGGTACCTCAGTGTAACCCAGCCACCAAGCAGCTGTAATTGAGATTTGTAATTGTGTTTCGGTTGTAGTGCAGATTAGGCAGTGAAATTAAGAGGCATGGCGTCTCCCTAGCTACATAAACTGTAGGGGACGGTTAACGCTTACCATCAGCTTGGCCGTTAGCTTGTTTCTCATTCCAAGTATATCATTATTTATTACATAGTATAAAACAAAGTCGCTGTCGCTGTCTGTCCGTCCCTATGTATGCTTAAATCTTTTGAACTACGCAAAGGATTATGAAGCGTTTTATTTTAATAGATAGAGTGATTCAAGAGGAAAGTTAATATTATATATAGTACATGTACTGGCTGCTGGGGCGAGTAGCTAGTAAAAAATAAATCTGAAATTTTTTGTTTCTTAATTAGTTGTCATCAGGGTGAAATATATAGGAGCATAATTAGAAAGTAAAAATAAAAAGGGGTATAACATGGTTCGAACTCTGTCAGAAGCAAGTAGCCAACATTAGACAATAAAAAATAATAATAATGATGATATGCTACGTAATTCGACCACTTCTAAATTCACGGACAATATACACTGACGTCATCATGATAGTATTTATCGCTGAACTACCACGATACAGTACGTAAGTACAATACAGTTTATACTCGTAACTCGAGTGGAATATAGAAACGAGAACGTTTTGTATGGACGTACTTTGCTAAATTAACATAAACACTACAAAACTTCCATACACACCGCTTTTGACGAATAAATTAGATAGAATGTGCTTTTATTAACATAAAACTATAAAAGAAAATCATTTATATATTCTGTCACGACTCGTCACGGTTTTTTTCCGGACTACTCTACTGCTGTTGGATGCAGCTGACCTTTACAGCTTCACCAGACGATAAGGGGCGAGTGCAGATGGCACACCAAACCAAAGTAAGGATATATGGAGCGGCTGAAGGCCAACTCCCACCTGACGGGTACGACTTTAGTCTGAGGGCATGGCTAGGGGGTTCGAATTTGAGCTCAGGCCGTTGTAATTTCGATCCCCGTTTGAAGTCGACGGGGGGTTGGAGGGGGCTTATCACAGATGGGGTACAACTTTTAATCAGTTGTTTCGTCATCTTGTTGATGCCATTCAAATTGAATGTCAGCAAACGCGCTGAAAACTAGTACGATAAGTTTATTACCACGAGTAATAATAATTTATATACATTTATGTAGCAAATAATATTGACATTAACATGCATTACAAATAGCATAGATTAAATTAAATTGGCAGCATATATACATGTACACACACGTACATATATGTACATACACACAGCCACACCAACAGAATAATAGCTCAGTTGGTAGAGCGGTGGACTGTAGAGGTAACACAAAAACATTATACCATGTGCATTATAACAATTGCTATACATATTTAAGTTAATACTAATCTATACATGTAAATAAAATTGGAGTGTCTGTTTGTAATATTGAAATAACCGTTTTTTACTACATGCATATGAATATAAATACGGTACATACACCAAAATAATATTTTTTCCAATTTTTGTCTGTCTGTTTGTTCCGGGTAATCTATGAAATGGCTGGACCGATTTTGACGGGATTTTTATTGACCTGCCAATAAAAATCCCGTTAAAATCGGTCCAGCTGATGTAATAAGGAGTAACTTAGGCTACTTTTATTTTAGAAAAATAATGTTAATTTCCACGCGGACAAAGTCACGGGAACAACTAGTAGTTAATATGGTTATTAAATTTAATATATTACGAATGTGGTACAGCTGAAATACTAAGTCATAATTTGTAAATCGCGGCAACTTTTAAAAGTGAAACGAAACGTTAATGAAACTGTCACCCGCTGCACCATGCTACAGCGCACACAGTATAGAAACCAATATGATCAGCATATTGCTGCAGCCGAAACTATAGTGCTATTTTTCAGCTGAGGCCGCCATGTGTCGAGTGTGACTTCATGGTGCTCTACAATAGGCGATGGTTGCCATTACTCATCAGATGTCCCGACTGCTTGTTTGCCATTCCAGTCATGTAAAAAACTGCTGAATTAAAACTAATACGATAAATTTATCAGCCTTCTCTTGTATCCGTTCTGTTCGGGACGTGAATACAGACGCACTGTCCTGTCCATATGGCGCGCCATCTGTCAGACTGTCTGTCCCACATATTATACTGGCCTATTAATTATTTGCAACGCAATGTTTTGTTACAAACAATAACTAATAGGCATATATTCAGTTATTTTTATGTAATTTTTCCACGTACTTGAAACTCCCTTGTTTTTGAGTTTTTTTAAATTATGTATATGAACAATTTTGATGATTCTTTCGGAGCCGATTGGTTTCATAATCAAGTTGGGTTTCGTATCATTTAGTTTAAAATTGTATACAATATTACTATATAAACTACACTTTATATTACCGAGAATATTTATTATATGACAATTTTATTTCAATTCTTTTTGTTTTCTTGACTTATTTACTGTCATGCCGTCTCCTACTTTATTTTTTAGAACATACTGATAATATAAAAGATCCGTGCGAAGTCAGGACAGGTTGCATGAATTGAGATAAAAAGAGTATCAATCCTTACCGTATGTG